GGTTCACTGGGAGAAATGTGAGATCGCACGGAAGCCCTCAGTCTGGTCCATTTCATGGCCCAATAGGCTGCCACTAGTAAAATAGCATTATTAACCCGACATCCCATAACCCAAATAATTGAATTATATTTACGTGTTGTATATTAATCTAAAATACTTTAATCATTCCATAAAATTGAAAACCATATGATTGATTGTGACAGAAGCAGAAAAGAGAAGCAGATTTGGATTATTGCATCTATATCTGCATTTTGACAAACAGCAACGCCATTTCCATGGCTTACATCAGTTGGAGATTGTTCGAAAGCGAAAACGAGTACAACAACTGCATGATGAATGAAGGATCTTCCTCTTCCGACCTACGCACGCTAAGAACGCCTGCTTCCATCTGCACGTTTCGCATCATTCGACGCTCTCCAGGTAGGGTTCTTATACTGTGTAATGCTGCTGGATGTTGTCGATGTCAAGCCCTTTGAGCTTGAACACCGATTCCACGTGTCCCTTTAGAGTGTGCAGCTCACGCAGCCTGCAAATGACCATGAACATGGGAGGCGTCAGCATCATGCTGAGGTTTTCCGACTCTATTACTCTGCACATGCTCGTACCTTGCAATCTCAGCTCGCCGTTTGGCTTGCTCAGCAATCTCTGAAAGTTCTCGGTAGCTGCTCTTCTCTGGGAAGAGGTTGGCAGTGTCAGGGGGTTGGAGTCCATGCAGAGTTCTCTGTGCCATAGCCCACTGAGCTTCCCTCTCTTCCCGACCGTAATCCTTCTTGGTAGTGAAGGCGGTCTGCAAATTTGGACAAGTTTGGCAACAACGAAGGGACACAATATAGATTAAACAGCAGCTTCAAATACAAATCGAGAAATTTTAGTACCTTGTTCTCGAGGAGGTTATCCCAAGCTTTTCCACTGAGAACGTAGCGGATAGCGAACTTGAACCAGTCAAGAGGGAAGAAGAAAACGATGCTGTAAAGCCAGATAACTCCAGCCCATCCCCAGCCGATACCTTTGATCCTTGCAAAGCCCCAGTTAGCATAGACAGCTAAAAGAGTTGCAACCTACAAGGAGTTCAGACACGCGGATGATCAGAATTGGTTCCAGAAAATAATACATTTAGAATATGATGCATTTGCATCACACACAAGTATCAAAGCTTTCTTTGGCCTCTCATGCAAGGTGGAAAATTCTGCACCTCCTTCCTCAGAGAGAGAGAGGTTTGGGGTTTAGTCCCCAGCTTGTGCAAGCTGCACTTTTCCCCTTATTGCTATACTACACATGGTGCTCCTCAATCAAAGAAAATATGATTTCACACTAAGGAATCTTAAGATACATCTCGTGACAAAAAGGCTGCGCAGTAAGATATAATCCTCTTACAAAGGCATCAAAAGATACATCTTAGAATATGAACCTAAAAGCAGATTCATGACAAAGGCATTAAGAGCAAAAAAGAGTACTACATGCTCAGAAATCACAAATGGCTAAGAGATTAATGTTCTGAAAAAAGCTGCATGGAAAAAAAAAAACTTACAAGCTGAGCAATTATGAAAGCGGTGACTAAGAGAAGCCCAGGGCGTTCAATAAAACACCAGCCGCGTGATCGAGTGACGAAAATAAGTGCCTGGCTAACTATACTGACTTGGAGGTACAAAGCCGACATCATCTCATCTTCACTATGCCTCAGCGATCTCACCTTAAACTTATCCTGCCAAGATATACCAAAAGATCATGTTATACTTACCATTTATTTCCAGTGACTGCTGTATCAGAAGCAAATTTCACATTGCATACTTCTGCATAGCTATAATAAAACTTTATTCATCATTTTATTCTCAAGTGAGACGAGGATGAAGAAGATTACTTACAGAGAAGAAGTCAGTTTCTTTCATGGCCCAGAAGAAAATAACAGTCATCAACGCCAAATAACTGCCAAAAACAATGCCAGTAGCAAATATCTCTTTCAGCTTCCAACTATCTGGCATTGGAGATGGCTTCACGCGGTCCTTGGAGATTGTCATTATTGTACCTGTAATACCAAAATGGCAACAGAAATTCTGATTAGAAACAAGAAGAGAATGAAACAAGCTATGATTGTCGTCTAAACTTACCATCATTTAGAATGGCAATGATCAAAACCATGAAAGGTGAGAAGTCAAATTTCCATATTAGTGCAATAAGCATAAAACCGAGCTGCAAGGATTTAGAGCTAATCAGAACCAAACATAAAGAGAAGGACATAATGAATCAGGAAAACGAAAAATTACATGCTCCATGGTGGCAATGTAAAATACTTACCACAATACGAATTGTGATGGAGACGGCATAAATCTGCAGGGGAACAAGATCATAAACCCAAGTCAGAGTGATGTCAAAACCACGATGAGAATTAAAGGTGCTATATCATTGATTGATCGGTACAGACTGTGTAGTTCTTCATCCTCTGGAAAATAGCTCGGCTGGTGAGCACAGCACTGATGATCACACTAAGCCCAGGCTCGGTCAGGACAATGTCAGAAGCACCTCTAGCGGCATCTGTGGCATCAGCAACAGCAATTCCAATATCAGCTTTCTTCAAGGCAGGGGCATCATTAACTCCATCTCCCGTCATTCCACAAATGTGCTTCCGCTCCTGCAACTTCTTCACGATTTCATACTTGTGTTCTGTTCAGGATGAAAGGAGATTGATATGTTGCCCAATATCGAGAATCACAACAGTCATTCCGGTAAAAATGAAATGGTCAAGCCTACCCGGAAATACTCCTGCAAACCCATCTGCCTTCTCTATCAGTTCATCTACGGGAAGTGCAGCAATTGATGCATCTTTATTTTGGCCAAGCAATGAAGAGGAAGGGTACATATTGGTTCCCATTCCAAGCCTTCGACCTGTCTCCTTGGCTATAGCGAGTTGATCACCTGAGGATAGAACAATTATGTTAGGAGAAGTATCCTAAACAAGTTGATATAATGATAATCAAGAAATAGTAGATACCAGTAATCATCTTCACATTGACACCAAGGTTGAGAGCTCTGCGAATTGTTTCTGCACTGTCATGCCTTGGGGGATCAAATAGAGGTAACAGTCCAACAAATTGCCATGGCGCCCCTGGGCTCTCCTTGTGCCTCTCTGGAACTTCCTGCAGCACAGGAAAAAATTTGTTGTGAGTCTTGCGGAATCGACTCCGATGCCATTTTGATTAGCCGGAAGAAAAAGTAGACCTGTCTTGCAACAGCTAGTGATCGCAACCCACGTTCAGCAAACTTGTCAATAATAGCATGAACCTTCTTCCTGACATCTTCCTTGCAGTTGCAGAGGGTAACGATCTAATCCGATTGGAGAAGTTAATCATAGAACCAATAAGATTACTTTGAGAAGCAAAGGCTAAAAAGACGATACCAAGAACCAATTACCTGCTCTGGAGCACCTTTGCTCACACGATGCCAGGAGCCATTAGCATCAATATAGGTAAGAGCAGTTCTTTTGTCGACAGGGTTGAAGGGGAGAAAATGTACTTCCCTGATACCTGCCCTCGCCTGTACATTAGACAGTAGAGGTCAAAACCAGCATAGTCAACTAGAAAGTGTGAGCAGTAGACACATCAACCACATCCATCGACTGACCTCCTTTGGGTCTGCAAGCATCCCGACCATGGCTGCATCGATAGCATCCTGATTCTCCGTCCTCGAGGCTCTTGCTGCCAACAAGACCACATACTCCTTATCCACACCCTTCGCAAAGACCTCAATGAGGTTCTTGTCAACGCTCAGTTTGTTAAGCGTCAGTGTGCCGGTCTTGTCACTGCAGAGAACGTCCATGCCAGCCATCTCCTCTATTGCGGTCATCCTCTTTGTGATGGCACCTTGCTCGGATAGCCTGTGCGACCCAATAGCCATGGTCACCGACAGGACGGTGGGCATAGCGATCGGTATACCGCCGATCAAGAGAACCAAGAGATTGTCGATCCCATCCCTGTATCTTCTATGCTGGATCGGGTACATGACGATTATCTCGACGATCATTCCCACCGCGATGGAGCAGATGCAGAAGTTACCGATGGCCGTGAGGACCTTCTGGAAATGGCCAACCTGGTTTGTACTGTCGACGAGGTGGGCTGCCTTTCCGAAGAAAGTGTGCACACCGGTGGCAATGACAACAGCCTCGATCTCGCCCTGTTTGCATGTCGACCCAGAGAACACCTCGTCTCCCGGATTCTTAGTGACGGGAAGCGACTCTCCGGTCAACGCAGACTGGTCGATCTTTAGAGGATCCCCGTCGAGGAGGCGCGCATCAGCGGGGACGATATCTCCGAGTTTAATGCTGATAATGTCACCAGGAACCAGAATGGCTGCGTCCTCTTCACTCCAGCGGCCATCTCTGAGCACCTGCAGCCGTCAAATCAACAGGATGGATGAACGAGAAGAAAAACCAGAGAAAGCTCATTACGTTAGCATCATATGTAAAAAGGTCGTCTTTTCAAACCAGTCCATACCTTTGTTTTCGGGGCGAGACCAGCCATTAGGGCGGCCGCAGCATTGCCTGCGTTGTTCTCTTCGATGAAACTGATGGTGGAGTTGATCACGAGCAACACGACGATCCCGACGAAGTCTTGCCAGTCGGGTGGCTTCCCACCACCGTTGGCCAAGGCGATGGCCATGACAGCGGCCATCTCCATCACCCACGAAAGGGGATTCCACATGAAGCCCAAAAACTTGAGGATTTTGCTCTCCTGCAGATCAGAAAAAACTCGTTCAGCTCTCAGTTCGAGGAACATGAATTCAATAGCAGAGAGTAAAATTTCGACCTTTTTCTCTTCGAGTTTGTTGGGGCCAAAGATTTGAAGCCGGTTGGCTCCTTCCGCTGACGAGAGACCTTCCCTCGTACATTTCAGCTGCTCGAAAACCTCGTCGACCGGAATCCGTTCCTGAGATCGAAGGAAAAGAAGTCATCGACCAAAATCGAAACAAAAGATCCAAAACAAAAAAAAAGTGAATTTTCCGTAATAATTTTTTGGCAAAAGTTCTCAAGACAAAATCGCATCATCCAACAGCAGAAAGCCTCTAAATTTACCTATCTTTTCCAGACCCTCTAAACCTGACCGATACGGAACTGTAAACGACTCCACGGAATCGTCCATTGCAGACGTCCAAAAAAGAATAATCTCAAATAATGGCCCATCCTGTCTTAATTGTGGGACGGTGGCTTTCTACGTACGAAACAAAGAACATAACGTTGATCGAGGATCGAACGGGGAGTCGGGTAAGATCATATCTCGAGAACAAGAAAAGAGATTATTTCCAAGATACTGGGCGAATTCTCGGAAAAAATCAAGTTTGAAATTTTTTTACTGAACGTTTTAACTTAAAAAATTCTGTATTAATCACATAAAAAAACTATTTTATCCCTACATTCGCGGGACCGACATCGCCACCACGACGGGTCGCAGGCACGGGTGTGGGCGCCCACACTATTCCTAGCAGCCCTCGCCAAACACAAGGCGCTGTGCGCGGGGAAAAGTGACCGACGAGACAACCTATGTGCGAAGGCACAGGCAGCCAATGAGACCAGCCCTGATGAGGAGGGGAGCGATCGACAGAGCCACCTCGTGCACAGAAACACTGGCGATAAGAAAGGAGAGGGGACGGAGCAACCAACAGAGCTAGCCGTACACGAAGTCGTACGTGATCGGAAAGGCAATCGGTGGGGCGAAGGGTGGCGGCCAACGAGGTGAAGGGCGATACCAAGGATAGGATGATCATTCAAAAAAATAATATCTGAAAGGAATTTAAAATTACGATACTCTACGAAAAATTTAGATTTTTTTTTCTAAAAATTCGCCCGAATATAATTGGGAACCGCAATTAGCACTGACATGTGAGTTCAGAGGTGTAAGCGGAGAGATGGACGAGCGGACTGTCTAGAACGAACTGTAGTACTTGAAATCTCCGGATTCCAAACGAGGCGCAGCAGAGTAACAGTGAAAGTTCTCTTTTTATCTTACTAATTTATTCAAAGAGTGAGAGAAGAGTACCAGAAGTGAAATCAAACCATGAAATCTTAACAAATATTACCGTATTTTCGTGTCTTGATCGAAGGAGGAGAAGAAATTGGAAATCTCAAAGGAAGAACACAAGAGCGGATACAAGATTTCAAATTATATGAACTCAAATGACGTATGTTTGGAAAGACATAAAAAAAGGGGGGAAAATCGATGCAAAGATGATAATAAATAAAACATATCGTTGAGAGTTTGTCGGAATCTGAAATAGAATAGTAAGTCAAACAAATTCATTAATACGGTCGAATACGGAGAGTAACCTTACGATAGCAACAGATCTGCAGAAATGAGAAAGAAATCCTTCTTCGTAATCAGAAGCAAGGAAACATCATCTAATCGTTACAGGGAAAGAAACAGAGAGAAAAAGATCAAAAGCTCTGTAAATAGCCCATATACGACCTAAAATGGCACCGAAAGCTACCGAGCGAACCACCGAGAGAGAGAAGAGGGGGAGTAAGAGTCTCTTACCAGATCCACGGTCTCGTTCTTGATCTCTTCCAAGCTGATCGCCTTGTCCCCGGCCATCTCTCCTCCCACCACGACGTACGCGCACCGACCACGAGGAGAAACGCTACAACAACAACTACCCCACGAGAAGAAACCCTACGACGTCGAAGAAGCCACCATTACCCAAAGCCCTCGCGCACGAGCGATCTCTCCCTCTCGCTCACTCCCTCCCTCAACTTCACAGAGGAGATGCGAAGCGGAAAGAGGAGAGAGAGAGAGAGAAGGGAAACTTCCCCTTATGGTGAAGTGGAGCGAACTCCGACGCTGCCTTTTATACTCCTTCCCGACCCCAAAATTGGCGGGCCCCGCCGCTTGCCTTGTTTTACCTGCTGACCTGTCGGTGACCCGCGGCGCCCTTCCTCGAGGGGCGCACCGCCACCTATCGGTAAAATCGCTTCCTCCTTCCCCGCACGGATTGTTTTCTGCGACCGTAACTAAACCGTTCAGATCAACTTGACCTAAAATCAACGGTTGTGATATTCTATACATATTACGCAAAGCGAACACATTCACGGGATTTGGTACAAGGAAAATTAATTAGAGGAAATAAAGCGGGCCGACCCTACGCGGCGGGTGGGCCGGAGGGCAAGCGAGGCCACGTGGTGCCGCCGCGTTGGTCTTCGGTTGGGGGCCAGACCTATAGGCTGGTATTTGACTTTGAGAGGGGGCGCGGTCGCGTGCGACTATAGAAGTGGCGGTTCGGCGAGTAAGAAATCATGCAATAATTGCGATGGTCTCCTCGACAGGGAGACGTCTGAGACGTTCATGGGAGGGCGGTCCGCCGTCTCGCGGCCAATCAGAGCCGTTGATTCGTCAGGGTGATGCCGGGCGTCGTCCGATCGTCCCGCATTAAGTATCAACTCGATGCTCGATGTATGTTGTTGTTATTATTATTATTGCCGTCATTAATGTTATTTTGGAACACTAATTAAAGATTTCCATGTGATCATGTGTCCATGTTATTGGAATCTGACCCGATACACATGTAGCCGGGTCCCACCCTTTTTATTTAATAGGAAAAAAGTCATCTTAAGACCACATTTAAATACAAGTTTCAACATCACATATCAATAGTTGGAAATAAGGAAATGGGGGCAATGTAGCTAGCATATATTATGTTGAATGTTTCTTCTTTTTATGAGCAAATGTGATCTACCGACCACAAATGTGCCCATCATACCTTTTTGAAATATGTGAAATTTACATATTTTAGGTATTTAATAAAAAAATTTACATAATATAGTGCTGATGATATTGATGATGATGATGATGATGATGAGAACATCATACCATATATATATATGGACACATTCCAAACCAGAAATGAGGCAATTATTATGTGATCCATATAAGATGCTGAATTGGTATGCATCTATCTCTAAGCTTTATATGTGTAGTCTTAAAGATTGCCCTTCCAAAGGATGGCAGCGTCCACAAATGTCCTAATCGACTATAGACTGAAGAAAGGCCATCCTCATCTTCTTCCAAATTCTATGTATGAGCCAAAGGTCATCTTCTTTTTGTTATTAGATAAGAAGAGCCAAAGGGCATCTTGAGAAGATTAGACCAGGATATAAGACAGGGTCAAAATATATTTTATATTATGTTGCTTAGCATATATACATATAATTAATAGCTTGCAAATGTGACCGATGCATTGATGGGCAACCTTGATGAAATGAGGTATGATGATGATGATATTGATACGATTAATGTTTTGAAATGTTTAATCGGATTAGCCACCATTATTGAAATGTTTATAGGGACGCGTGCCAATTGAATGAGGGTATCGTTCTTTCTTCTCTTCGATGCATGACACGCCGTTCAAGGACAATGGAGAACTTTGATCTTTAAACTCACCGACGGTGTTCGGCTCTCAATCCGTCAAGTCCCATGTGCGCCGCTGAAACCCGGAGTAGGGATCTGGTCAGTCGCGGTAGGCATATTTCGTAGTTTACTTGTGTCCTTTGTTTGATGCCAGCACAAGCGCTTTGACCCTGGTCGCAAGTCAAAGTTAGGCAATCCAGTGGTCAACGTCTGCGTGAATCCGAGAAAGGTCGTGGGATATTCACTTTCTACGTTTTGTGACAGATCCTCTTCGATGCAGATAGGTCGCACAGTTCATGGCTTCTCACTGCTGCAGCATGAGAGAGGATGCGTCTTCTCCATCTTGGACCGTAGTTATCACTTGCAAGTAGCATGAGACAAAGGCAAGCGAGATCCATGCTTCCACGGATATCACCATCGCAGGAAATCTGCATCGTCGACACTCGAAGGTCTGATGCATCACTCATGTGGCTGCTGAAAGCAAGAAAGAGGATTAGAATAACTCCATCTTCATCCTGGCATAATGTGTCGCAAAGGTTCTTCACCGCTCCACTGCTTTAAGCTCATGTACATCATATGGCAGGTTGAACAAGACCTGGGGCAGGTGATGAGCATGCCTGTTCATGCAGGCAAAGGCTGCCTACTCTTCAGTGGTGTGTGAGTCAGGCAACACCCACTTTAAGCAACAAAGGGTGTTGTTTAAACCCTTGGCAGAGTTGGAACTGTGACAGGAAAATTAGAAGGTGCAAGTCCTCTGCGAAGAAGCCACCAACCGGCAAGGGTTTGAACTTACAATAGAGGAAGGGATGCCTCTTCCTGAAACAAGCAGAATCATGATCATGTAGATGAACTCTCTCATCAAGGACATAGTAGTAGTTGTAGGTTATAACTTTTTTCTAAGATAAACAAAGTTTTGTTCTACTATGATACATGATTGAATGGTGCCTTTTCTTTATGATGCAATGCAAGCTCAATCATCTTTTGGTATGAAGCCTTTCTGTATCATCACTTGGATTACATTAGCTGAAAGGATGCCTTCGGTCGTACAGAAATGAAGCAGCATCATGCTCTCTCTCTCACTCTCTTTCTTTCTCTGTGTGCAGACCAAATGGGCTGAGTAATTTATTCATTGCACAAACATAAAGTGCAGAATATGAGACGTTGAACCTAAAAGAAGATATCTTCATGATTTGTCAGATACCAAAGAGTACGCATCTTAATAATATCAGAAGCACTAGATGACATAGACACTCCACTCAACCAAAATGAGTGGTGCATGCTATGGCAGTACAAGCTGAATCAGAATACCAACCTGTGAACCTCAATGAAACTCTTCTCCTAAAACCACCTTTTGACCTCACAAAAGACCAGCAGCACCAGACACAATAAATGAAAAGTGGGTGGGAGAAAAAGAGAAAAAGAAGCTTGGCCAAATCATCTAATCCAAACACATTTACCTCTTTTCACCCACTGGGGGTGCATCTCCTCTGCTGGTGTACTAATTGGCTTCATTGCTTGCCAAACAAATGAAGGAGAAGGCTGCTTTCTTTCTCATGCATTTGAAACTGTGAGAACAAGTTGTCAACATGGATGATTTATGCCCCACGTATCTATCTTTATCAGCTGATCTGGTAGCAATACTTCTAGACAGCATCTTTGAAATATTTTTTATGTACTCAACTTAACATCAACAACATAAAAAAAACTCTATGGTGATACTGTGTACCTCAATCAGCTGAACATTATGTTATGCATCAAAATGATATCAGATAGTGATTCATGTAAATCCATTGCATTCTGGTGAATGGGGACAGCACATGTCAAGCATCAAAGGTCCTTGTTAATATGGTGCAGAAAAATCTTGTAGCCCAAAGGCAAAAAGAACTGTGATATCAGTCACTGCATGCTATTGAGTCCTTTGTGCTCATTGGCACATCAACTTGAGGTTGACAGCCAAATAAGAAGCGTGCTAGTAATGTAGTTAGCTGTTGCTGACAAGCCATGAGCAGAGTCTTAAATGTTGTGGAAAAAGCCTGCCAGTATGCAACTGTTCCAAAATCCATGATGCTCTGAAACCATTCCTGGCAAGTACAGATGCTACAAAAGAACAAGATGCGGGGATGATGACACTCCAATACCAAAATCATAAACCACCATCACCAAAAATTACAATTCAGGAGAGGAACACATAAACACAAGATTGGAAGTGCATTTTATGACCAAAAAAAAAAAACTGGAAAGCTAATACTGAAAGTAGCTCATATGCTTTAGCTGTGAACTTGATCCATAAAATCCATATGTTATGTTTATAACAGAAGATGATGATATGTTATTAATGGAGCCAACCACCGCCAAGAGACTTATTCAAGTTCTATCCATATCCACATCTTCGGAAGGACTGAGACTATGCAAATTAAAAGTCTTCACATGAATTAGTAGTGTTAGAAGTAAAAGCTTTGCAGAAGAGAAAGCAAGCTCTGGTGGCTTAGACCTGTTCACTTAGTGAGAAGAATACCTTGAGAAAAGTTGCCTTGGCATTCAGTGTTTGTGGTGCAAGGCCCCAGTAGATGGAATTAATGGGGCAATGAAATAAAATAATGTCTTATACTAGCTTTAGATATGCAACACCCATTTCCTGTTTGGTCTTTCCTCTCAAATCCAAGCACCTTGGGAACCTGTAAAGTCATCAAAGGCATCACTTGTAGGACTGGCCTTGTGTAGCCACAAGAGAAAAAGAGAAAAGATACAATGCTTTGTTATGCTTCCCCTATATCATTCCTCCCACTTTTTGCCATATTGTACTATTGGGGAATCTTGGACTGGCCAACCTTGCATGCATATCTATCTATACCCTGTCTTCCTGTTTCACCTTATCTTAGTACTAGAAGTTTGTAGAATATGAGTTGAGAAGGGCAATTTGGTATGCGCAATCACCATATCAGGTAGTTCAAACACAACCAATATAGTTCAAGTGCTACACTGGTACACAGACAAGCACAAGACCTAATTTACACAGCCTATTATCTTGCGTGCACTTCAAACCTACATGAATTAAAGGTGAAATTGTGCACTGAAATGATATTGTATTTTTCAGGAACATCAGATAATGGTCACCTTAATTGGAACTAGGGAGAAAGACAAACCACTGTGCAGCCTCATTTACTAAATACTAGTAATGTAGATCATAGATTGACAAACACAAGTGCATCAAATAGAAGTCACAAGAAATGCGATACCCAAACTCTGTTGCTCTTCAATAATCTCAAACTTTCATGGAAGTGAACTTAACAACATTGCTGTCTAGTGCACCAGATAAAGACCAAACCATCATCTGAATGATTCCTACAACTAAACCTTGTTCCAGCAATTCTCCAATTGTCCCCAGAAAATGGTAGAATTGCTGAAGCATATGTGATATATTTTGAGTAAAGAGAAAGAAAAGGTGATAACAAAATAGTCACAATGATTCGGCACTAAAAATGCTACCCTGTCATACCTTATATAAACTTGGGTTGAAATTTATGTGTTGCTTGTACTTTCTTCTTTCTAACATTTATAATGCATAGGGGAAACTTTATACAACATTGAGACTCAGGGCATGCTGCTGTACCTATAGTGTGGAATCTTCTACATAGGTGGTGTTCACCAAATTTAAAAAACAGTGGGAAACTAACCATATAACACCCTTTTGGTTTTGATCAGGGACTGCCTCTTGTACAGTTGCCAGTAAACTCAAGCTAAACAGGACATCCTTCTCCTGTATTGCCCTTTTGGACTGATTTACTTGATGGTCTAAGCAGACCTCAAAGGATGTAATTAGCTATCTCTTCATTTTGAGATATCCAAATGGTGATTCAAAATCAGGTTATCTAAAACTAGTCAATGGCCAGAAACAATTATCTCCAGTGAAGTGGTTGAATTTGTTTAATGATGAACTTTCCTGCTTGCCTACCAATGTGTGCAAAGCATCTGCAATAAGTCTAAAGAAATTATGGCATGCAATGAAGAGGCCCATGTCCAGAAGAAGTGTTAATATGAAATGTTATGTTAGAAGTGTATACAAGAAAATTGTAAAATTTTGAAGGCAGTACAAAAGGAAACAACTACCTTTCAGGGCATATGTGCAAAATATTGGTAAGTATACTACATATACCTCAGGTAACAAGCAGATATAACATAATTATGAAGTATATGACAATATTTGTGCATTTTGATATGAGGCATAATTTCCTCAATCAACACTTTACAGTAGCAAAAAAAGAAAAAAAACAGATGCATGTACCTCAATAATGTTAGACAATTATGCAATTAAATAGGTAACTCTTCAGACAGTATACGTTGAAAGGCAAACAATAGGTAAAAACAATTGAATACATGAAAAAAGCATACTGTAAACTTCTAGAGTTCTTACATGATGGAAAAAATAGCTAGCTGCTCCGAGGGGGTGGTTGTTGTTTAGAAATGGAAAACAGTAGGTAGATGGAAGAGTAGATAGAAAAGTCAGCTACCAATATATTGCTTCCTTCCTCGCCTAGAGCTATACTCATGGTGCCGCCAAGCCTACATCATTGAAATTCTGCTCCTAAACATACAGCTTAAACATCACCCAGTTGAACCAAAATGCTCCGCAAAGGCAAAGCTTACAGTCTATGTTCTCTATGCTCTTCAAGTAATCTTCAGGAAAAAAAAAGAAAACATAATTTCACTACCATGCTTTCACGAAAAGGAAACCTCACCTCTATGTGATATGGAAACTATAACTAGAAAAATAAGTCATCCTATGCATAAAGAACATGTATTTCTACTTTAATCTTTTAAATGAAAAGCCTATAACTAAGTTGCTTCAGAAACCCATGATTCTAAATGTTGCAACATTAATTACAGAAGCAATTAATCTGCATGAAGTTTCTGAAATACAATGGACAAATGACAAAATTGTGATAGAATTAATCGGTATAAGAAATGAGTGATATTTTGACCCAAATACAGGCAAGACTATATAACATTAAAGGAACTCCATTTAAATATCAACAAACACTGGCAGCCTATCATATGGATGTTAAAGTGATCCTCATAAACTGGGGTGACCCACTACCAGAATATGCAAACAGCAATGGTGGAGCACGGATCAATGCCGAGACTTATTCTCTTCTACCCGGAGAGTTAGCTTATTCACTGATTGCTCAGAAAAAGATGAATCCATATTTAAGATCCCAGACACAAACTCCATAGCCTCCTCATATCTCTTGGCTTTACAGTAACCATCAACAATTATCCTGTAGGTTAGTTCATCAGGCCTGCAGTTATGCTGTATCATGTAGCTAATAACATCATCAGCTTCTTTGAACATGTCCTTGCTCACATAACCAGAAATGAAGGTGTTGTAAGTGACCATGCAAGGGGTAACTCCTTTAGCCATCATGTCTGATAGAATCCTTAGGGCCTCAGTCATGAGACCTTGCTTGCAAAATCCATTAATTACAGTGTTGTAGGACACTACATCAGGCTTTAGTCCTGACTTTTCAAGTTGCTTGAGTATGTCTTCTGCTTCCCAACACTCTCCACCTCTTGCATACATGTTCATAATATTATTATGAGTTATGAGATCAGGTCGCAATCCAAACTGATGAATCAAGTCAAACATCTCACGAGCACGATCGTACATCCCATTCTTTGCATAAATTGAAAGCATAGAATTAAGGATTACCAAGTCAGGCTTGTAACCATTCCTCTTCAGCTCCTCAAAAGCCTTCTCTGTGCCATTTAGCATTCTACACTTGAAGTTGACAATAATAAGTGTTCTTAAAATCACCCAGCTGGGAAATATTTTATCATCATAAACTTCTTCTTCAATTGCCTGTATCCCTTTTATATGCCTTCCTTTAGCATAAGTTTGAAGCAACAAAGAGTATGAAAGTTCATTAGGCTTGAAGCCCTTCTTCTTCATATCTAATATGACAGACTCCGCAGCTATCCAATCACCTTTCCTAGCTATTGCATTCAAGAGTGCATTGTATGTAGTGGTACAAGGACTAAAACCTGCCTTGACCATCTCATCATACATCTGCAAAGCTTGGGTGCTAGACCCACACCGGCCATATGCAGCAATCAAGGTGTTGAAGGTATCCCTGTCCGGCTCAACTCCTGATTTCTTCATCTCATCAAATACTTGGCTGACATAATTCTCCATTCCCCTCTTCCCGCACATAGCCAACATTGTGTTCCATGTGACCCTATTTGGGACACAACCATTAGACTTCATGTCGGAGAGTATGTCCAACATCTCCCCTGTCCTTGATTTCTTTCCAAGCATTCCAAGAATCGTATTGTATGTACAAGTATTAGGAACACAACCCAACTTCTTCATCCGATCAAACAAAGCCAAAGCTTCATCCTCTTTTCCCGCCTTTCCATATCCGCTAATCACAGTGGTGTAGGTAACAGAATTAGGCATGATTCCTTTACTAGCCATTGTGTCTAATACTGCTGCCCCTTCTTCATAAAAGCCAGCTCTAGCATAGGTCGCCACGAGCTCATTGTAGGTAACTGCATCTGCTGGGCAGTTATTGTCCTCCATTTCCTTCAATACCCCCATGGCCGCCGGATACTTTCCAGCTTTACCATACACCTGGAGCAGTGAATTGTATGCGACGGTGCCTGGAACATAGCCCTGCAGCTTCAATTGTTCAAAAAACATGGAAGCCTCCTCCAACAAACCTTCCCTTCCGCAGGCTGATATGACAGTGCTACAGGTGAACTCATCAATACCCACATTTCTGCTATTCATTTCATCCAAAATTTCCAAAATTTTACTCCAAGACCGCCCCATACGGCCATATACATCAAGAATCACATTGTAGGTGACCAAGGTAGGCGATAACCCTTTGGCTTTGATCTGCTTAAACAACGCGACCGCTTTGCGGTACTTGCCAGTCCGAGACAAGGCATGAAGCAGGGTAGTGTAAGCGCGGATATCAAGGCAGTATTCCTCCAGAGGAATAGAGTCGAACAGCTTCGAGGCGATCGAGTGCTGCGAATGCCTACCCAACGCCCTGATCACCACCTCGATCGCCGGGGCGTCTAACCTGGATCCCTCCGCATTGGAACCGGATCCAGCCCATTCAAACAAGGCGAGAGCCTTCTCCCAGTTGCCCAAGATCTCGAGCGCCTTCAGGAGGCTGACCCAATCCACGCCAAAAATCTCATCTTTTTTGGATTCCAGCAGGGACACCAAATCAAGAAGAGGCTGTTCGACGATGGATCTAAGCAAAGACTTGCCTGCGCCGGAAAGGAAGCCGAGGCGAGGGTCCCGCAGGAACAGAACACCATTTTCGCTGCCGGCGAGCCGTGGGCGCGACGCCGGAGTTGCCTTCTCGCGGTGAATTGTGGTCGAAGCGAGGCGCAAAGAAGGAAAGTTGGGATTTTTATTGGTTGGTTGAGGTGGGTGGAGAGTGGTGGAGGTCTCTTGAGTGAGATGCTGGAGATGGTGCAGGAGGGAGTCCAAGGGGACGGAATGAGAAGGAGGAGGTGGTGGTGGGTTGAACTTTGGATGGTTGGTCGAGGGTTTTCTCGGCGTTTTCGATGTGTGTGTTGGGAAAGCTGGACGGCTTGAGAAGAGAGCTCCCTCCATTGAGAGAGTGAGAGAGGAGATGCAGCGTAGAGATGTGGTTTGGGGTGGATTGGGAGCAATCTGAAACGAAGTCCAATCTGACATGGTTGGTCGACATCCAACCATCCATCATCCCTCGTCCCTTCATTTCCAATGTTGAAGGGAACAGAAAACATTTCTATCTTTTTCTCTCTCCACAATCTTTCAGGGTGTTATACTGTTCTCCCTCTACAGTCGTTCTAGTGTAATATATTAAGAAAAATATTATTAAATAATAATAATAAAATTATCATGATCCTTTATCATAATTATAAATCATAAAATTTATTATGTCATGATTTATCGTGATCTGAATATGATCTCATAAATAAAATAATTTAATAAATATTATATATTTATTATTGATTGAAAAAATACGTAATTATTATATTTTGTAATCTCTTTGTCATATAAGAGCCATAATTGTTGAGTTTTTTTTTTCTTCAATCCTCTTTTTATTATTATTGATTAATAGTGCTCGGAAGGTATTACAACTCTTTACTTTAGACCTTTTTTTCTTGTGGTTAAAGGTAGTACGATAATTTTTTGTTACTGTATCTCTTTTTTTTATAACTTTTGCTTTGTACCTCCTCCTTGTAAGCGATTTTGAATCTTTTTCTTCTCCGCTTTTACACATGATTGATAATACCTATTTAACTAGTTACTCATCTCATATTATCCTAACTTTTTTATTTTTAAAAATACTCTTATTTCTATTAATATTGTAGTGCAAGCTCCTATAAAACTTATATCCACAGACTATATCTCTTTATATATTCAATTTTATTCTCTTTTAAACTTATGATGATGATAAAAATAAATTAGAATAATATAATTTAGAACCTAAAAAAGAAAAATGCCCTAAGTGAATGTATTATTCTTGAAATGAAGCCTTGTGGCCAAAGCAAAGATAGATTTGGATAGTGCAACAATTGTCTACTCATAAACTCCATCTCTATTTAGTTCCTTCATGAGATATGCCTCTATATGTTTAGATCCTTCATAATAAATAAACAAGATAAGAATTTAATAAAAATATTATTAGAAGAATATAATTTAGAGACAAATATTAGGTTCTTCTTCCAATACAAAGAACATTAGAAACTAAAAATGATTTTGAGAAAGGGGAAAGGTTTATAGAACCAATATGAGTTATTTTGAGACATTTGTCATTACCTATTATGATATTATCTAAACAATCATAATATAAATTAGGAGACAGATTATTCAAATAAGACATGACATGATGAGAATCCTCAAAACCAATAAGCTAGTTTGATAAAGGTTGAAAAGATTGAGTAACAAAGTTAGCACGCGGTGGTGGGATAACAAAAACCGAATAGGTGGTGTAGTAGGATATGTAGAATAAGATGGGTATAAAAGCTAAAATATCCATGGAATAACAACTCAAATGAGATGATATTTCTTAGCAACATGGCTTTGCAAGTCATATATTTGATAGGTAACTTTGTTGTTGAATTCTTGACCAGATTTGTTGACACTTTTATTGGAACATTATTGAATGATTGTCTTGATGATGGTAGATCTTACCTTTATTATAAAAATTAGCTTTGTTAATAAAATTGACGGTGATAGAAGTAGTATCAAAAGGTGATAACTCTCGCTTAAGATAAGCTTCATAGTTAGAAAGCTTATCATGAAATTCTTCAAAAGATCTCTTTATAATTTTAACCAAGAACATTTAATATATGAAAAATAATCTTTTCATCATCAAAAGGTGCATCAGTTATAGCAAGCATATCGACTTAAGTTTTGATAGCTTGGATATAGTTATAAATAGATTTTATGCCTTTAGAAAGTTTAAAGAAAGTTTCTTGAAGTTGATGAGGTGACCACGAGATTAGTTAGCATATATTGTTGTAAGCTTGGACCACATTTCACAAGAGTATATTGTAGAGGCTGCATAGTTAATGATTTGAGAGGAGAGAGAGAGAGGCAATGATAGTACTTCTAAAAAGATGATATGGACGGATCCAAAAATCAAGTATTTAAACTAAATAAAAGGTACTTTATTTTCATAAAACAATCCCAAAATTTTATTTTTAAGCCTTTGACGGTTAACCAAGTTTTCAAAATTTTCGACAGCAATGTCTAAAGAATATAGTCAAAAACTTATAGGATGTAAATGAATTTAAGACTTGTTACAAAAGAATTTTATCAACGTCCAAGCTGCCATGACATATTTAGCCTAATTGTAAAGCCACCAATAATTCATTTATGTCTTGTTTTGTCTAACAATTAGGTACTTTGATAATTGGACATGAATAATATATTTCTTGATAGTCATATTTTCAAGTATGTATTCATGAGACAACCTTTATGCTTTATTAATTATAATCCCCCTTAGTTCTTTATGGTCTCCAGCATGCCCCTGGTCCTTTGGTATCATGAGCTTCAAACATATTTAGTCTCGATTGGATTTCATAATTCTCAATTTGATAATTTATTATTTATTTATTCTTATAATCATATTTTTACTAGTTTATGTGGATGACTTAATTATTACTGATACTAAATCAATAATAATTAATCAATTTATTCAGCAGCGTAACAAGTTTTCTATCAAAGATCTTAGGTTCCTCAACTATTTTCTTGGTGTTTAAGTAATTTACATGGTAAATAGTCTATTTCTTTCTCACCAAAAATATATTTATGACCTTTTTTATCACACCAAAATACTTGAAGCTAATACTGTTAATACGCCAATCTCTATAAATATTCCTCTTATCCTATTTGATAGTGCTAATCTTAACGATGCCACTAAGTATCGTTAAGTTATTAGAAATCTATATTATTTGATATTTACTCGTTTAGATATTACATATACGTTAAATAAATTATCTCAATTTATGTATAAGCTTACTTCTAATCATTAGACAATTGTTAAATATATTCTTCGGTACTTAAAGGATACTATTGATCATGACTTATTTCTCCAAAAGGACTCTCCTTTATTACTTTATACATTTTCATATGTTAATTGAGCAGATAATAAGGATTACCGGATATCTACTAGTGCTTATAATGTATTTCTCGGTCATAATCTAATCTCTTGAAGTTTCAAGTATTGCAATATCTTTTATGGAGACTGAATATTGAGCAATTGTTTCTATAACTATTGAACTTTATTGGATTCAATCATTGCTACATGAACTATTTATCACAATCTCTGTTCTATATATTGTGACAGTATCAAAGCAACATATTTATGTGCTAATCATATATTTTACTCTCAAATGAAATATATAACAATCAACTTTCACTTTATTTGTGACAAGATTCAAAATGGTGAACCATGTGTCTTTCATATCTCATCTTCTAGTCAACTTGCAGATGCTCTTACCAAGCCTTTGTTTCACCATCAATGCCTTCTACTTGGTCTAAGATCGATGTCTCGATAGAAGCATCATCTTGTGGAGGTATATTAGAAAAGATATTAGTGAGAAAAATAAATCATGATAAAAATATCTTGATCATTTCAATATTTTGATACTATGTTATCATGATTCTCAATCATAAAATTTATAATAATAATTATCATGATTCAATCAATAATAAAGATATTTCATGATTTAGTAAATATTTTATATTTATTATTCATTGAGAAAATTATATAATTATCATATTTTTGTAATCTATATAAATTTATATTCACTATCAGTAAAAATTTTTTAAAAAATAATTTTTCTCATAATATATGTTGTAATGTGTCAACAATCATAACAGATAGAGAATCAATAATAAGAGAATCAAAGTGACTCCTATACATTAATAAGAGGATCAATCCTATATATTAATAGGAGAACGATCACTGGTTCACGAGACACGAAGATTATTGGGAGGAATTTGATTTCCTATATATTAATATGAATAAATGTTAACAGAGGTTAATTTATACAAAGTATTTTGTTAAAATTTAGATCATGATTCGATTTAGATTAAAATCAAATTAACTTGACGGTTCATTAGTTTCAAATTGAATCGAAATCGGTATTTATGAATTTTTTTTTAATTTTTTTAATTTTTAATTATATTTTTAATTTTTAATTATTTTATTAAAATTAGAAAAAATTAATGGTTCAAGCTGGAATCGATATCGTTGGAACCAGAATCAATCCTATATGATTTGATTTCGATTCTCAAAAAATCTATTTACATGTCCCAAAAAATCTTATAGATTTATGTAAATTAAAACTCCTACAATCAATTCAAAATGACAAATAATGATTTACCTCTCACCTCTAATTAAAACTCCTACGATCGAGAGCCACGGAAGGCGCGAATTCCACGACTTAAATCATGATTTACGTCTCACCTCCCTTTACATGTACATGTAGAAGCCCCTACAATTTAATTGGGAGAGTAACCGTTCCCCGACTTAAGATTCGATTTAGCTTACCTCTCATCTCAGGCTGATAGTACCGACGCTTTTTGAGACGGCATCTTGAATCGTGAGATATTCGTAACCTAAGTCGCTTGTTAAGACATGGGTGCCGAGATTTTGACCTGGGTGATCGGCACGTCATCTTCCTCCATGGCTGATTCGGCCTCGCTAAATGGCATATTCTTCAAACCATGGTTACTGGTTCGGGTAGGCGGTAAGAGGCCGGTGGTGATTTGGTTAGCGAAAGGTGGTCGACCGATCACACCAATCCTCCGCTCTTCTCCCACCGATCCTCTTCTCTCCCCGCGAACTAACCAGAAGAAGTAATAATCGACCCCTAAGAGAAAGGGAGAGAGAGAGTGTGTGTGTGTGTGTGTGTGTGTGTTCTCCATCCATCGAGGGACCCGCTTCGATCTCGGCTCGAAAGGAAACCGCCGGCGGGAAGATGCAGCCGGAGCGGGCGAATCCCTCGCCGCTCGAACTCATCTCGGCGATCCTCACCGGAGGCGAGGGCGCGCCGCCGGATGCGGAGCTGGCGGTGATACTCGCCACCTCCATCGCTGTGCTCCTTGGGTGCACCTTCATCTTCCTCTGGCGGCGGTCGTCCGTGCAGAAGGCGAGCAAGCCGGCTGAGCCGCTGAAGCCCTTGTCGGTGAAGGTAGACCGTGAGCCGGAGGCCGACTACGGGAGGAAGAAGGTCACCATCTTTTTCGGCACGCAGACCGGCACCGCAGAGGGTTTCGCTAAGGTTTGGTATAGTTGGCTTCGGATCTGAATCTGAATCTGAATCTCTATAAACTTAGCTTTTTTTTCTTACCGTGTATTTTGTCCGACTTAGGCGCTTGCGGAGGAGGCAAAAGCTCGATACGATAAAGCCACCTTTAAAGTCGTTGATTTGGTAACGCCCCTTTCACCCCTCCAATTGTTGTTATGATTGAAGCATCCTCATGCGTTTGATTGATCTTTAACGGCTTGCTTTTGACGACTGCGACGTCTGGTAGGACGATTATGCAGCTGATGATGATGAGTATGAGGACAAGTTGAAGAAAGAGCCTCTAGCTTTGTTCTTCTTGGCTACGTCAGTTAGAGCTTCTCTGTCTCCTTGACGTGTTTCTTTCAAATTACACTTTCAGTTGTAGTTTGATCATATTTTGTTTGGAGACTACAGGTATGGAGATGGGGAGCCTACTGATAATGCTGCTCGGTTCTATAAATGGTTTACAGAGGTTGAAGAAACAAAATCCATATCATATTATAGCTCCTTTTTCTGCTGATGTCTAATTGTTGTATTTGGTATCAAAGGGTAAGGAGCATGGAAACTGGTTAGAGAATCTTCAGTATTCTGTGTTTGGTCTAGGCAACAGGCAGTATGAGCATTTCAATAAGGTTTTTATTTGCCATTATTGTAGAAATTTTGAGATCTCAACTGATCCATCCCTCAGCTGACTTATTTTCTTCTGTGGCATAACTCATATTGAAAGGTTGCGAAGGTGGTGGATGAGATCCTCGCTGATCAGGGTAGTCTATTTTATCTAGTTAACCTTGCTATATGGTTGTTTTTTGCATTGTTTTGATTCTCTTGCCACAATCTGCACTTTAGCTTGTAACATAATGATTTTTATAATGTGAAAGCCTTTAGCTTTAATTAGGAAAATATGCCAAGTTCTTGCTGAAACATATAAACTGAATTTAACAAATTTCTGAGCTCAAAGTTGTGCATGTTGATTGCATTCTGATTGGTCCAATTATTCTGATGGGTAAAAGTTCCAGTTCCACATCTGGTTCTAGCATCACAACACTTGAAGTGTTTGAGCTAGTTGTTCTGTCACAGATAAGTGGGCTGGCCTACTGCTTGATGTTCTGGCTTGTATTGTCTAGTTTTATGTTTATTATGTTTTTCTAGCATCCATGTGTTAAATGGATGCTTAATGTATATATTCTTTTTATGATGGTCATGCATACATTGAGTCCTTGTTTTTTGGTGGCTGGTAGATATGGGCAACCGCTGCTGAATCTGATCATGAGTTGTTTAGTTTCACATGCTACTATGTAATGAATGACATCCTTTTGAATGATTTGTTGTTTCCTGATTTTTTTTCAACTTAAGTAAAATTTGATATGTTCTCCACGTTGGATCATGACATGCATCTCTTTTTAGAAATATTATGAACATACGCAAATCTTTTATCTTTGCATTTTCTGTTTCAATGTTTTGATTTTCATGTAAGAGGTCAGTAACCTGGAACATATTGTTGATGAAATCGATTTAGATAACATTGTTTTTTTTTATTTTCATGGTTTTTGTAATTGTCTGTCCTCTATAGCAACGCCATTAACTTTGTGACATTTGCAGACAATACAACACATTAAAGGTGTGTTCATATTCTCATTTAATTTAGGTGCGAAGCGCCTTCTCTCTGTGGGACTTGGAGATGATGATCAATGTATCGAAGATGACTTTAGTGCATGGTACAAATTTCAGCTATATATTCAATAGATATTGCAGTATGTGCTGCATTTTATTTTCTCATGCTGACAACAACTTTACTATTTCAGGAGAGAGCTTCTATGGCCAGAGTTAGATCAGTTGCTTCGGGATGAAGATAATGTTTCTGGTGCATCTACTCCTTATACAGTTGCTATTCCTGAATACAGAGTAGTTTTCATAAACCGTGAAGATGTGGCAAACTTAGAGAAGAGTTGGAGTCTTGCAAATGGTCATGCAGTGCATGACATGCAACATCCATGCAGGTAGTCATTATTTTACTGGCAAGTTCTATTTATCAACACCAGTCTTTGGATGCATAACAAGGCTGATTTTTGTACATTGTGGACATGCAAGAGCTAATGTGGCTGTGCGTCGGGAGCTCCATACCCCAGCTTCAGATAGGTCCTGCATCCACCTGGAGTTTGGCATTGCTGGCACCGGTCTTGTGTAAGTTTCTTACTCTTCGGTTCTTGGAGGTGTAGTATGCTTCTTATTTCTTTGTTTAAATTAGCTATGTTTGCATCTTTAAGGGGGTATTGCATGGTCTAATTTGTTAATTTAGAAGGTTTCTCCAGATTCCACAAGTATAGATTTATATACATGTCTTCTCTGGATAAAGAAAATCCTGGCACTCTCCTACCAAGTCATGGCAGCCATTGACAAAAGACTTTGTGACCAGATCATGAATAGACATATCTTGTCAATGTGTCTGTGCGAGAAAAGGCTCCTCTTTTCAGTTTTCCTTTCAGTTATCCTGTTGCTATTGATTGCTTCCTTTTCCCTGGTCATATTTCTAGCTGAAATCTGCTGTTCCTTTGTGATGAAATCCTGTGTGCCCTCCCTTAAACATTAGGTACTCCTTTGTCTTGCAAATTCTTTGGTCCTCAATTAACCTTTTTCAAGCTTTGCGGTTCTTTTTGCTTTTCCTTCTGATAAATAGTCATTTCTTGTTTGTGTCCATTTGATTCTCCAAAACATGCTATATAAGTTCAAAAATACGCAACAGAAGTATTTCCCTGTAAGAAAACTGCACTGTGAAGTGCAAAACTGAGACTTTTGCCTCCTGCAAATTGTCACGTTGCTCCCTTGCCTCCTGGTTAAAGAGCAATGGTACCTGTTATGCATTTCCAGGCATATAAGTGCCTTCATTTTTCATGCTTGTACTATATCGTGACTGATTAATTTTACTTAGAAGAATAGCTTAATAATGCTCTGCATACTTTCTTGGCTTTCATTTTTCTATAATACAAAATCTCACTAGTTTTTCTTAACTGTATGGATACAATCTCAGTTGTGTCAGAATTAATAGTTTTTCTTTTATTTATGAATTGAAACACATATATCTATTAGGGTTATATATCATATTTAAGTGTCAGATATAAGATCCCATAGTTGTGTGAATCCGTATTATCTTTCTACTGTTTCAATAGTAAATGTTTTTGCTTGTTGCTTAACATAGTATAAACCTGTTGATCTTTTTTCTCTTTTCCTTTTAGTTTGAGGATTCCTGTATTACATTTTTTTCATTGCTTATTTGAGTTTCTTTTGTTATTATTGATAAGTTTAGTTGTGTGGTTTTTGAAGTTGACAGTTGAATGCTTGTTTAAGAATTGATATTGGTGTTTGTCACTTGAATGTTATTCTCAACCTTCTTTCTTCTCTCCACTTATCTTTGGAGAGTTCTGTGATGGTTGATTTCTTCAACCCACTATCATGATGCTGTTTCGACAGGTATGAAACCGGAGACCATGTTGGTGTATTTACAGAGAATTGCACTGATACAGTAGAAGAGGCAGAAAGACTGTTAGGTTATTCATCGGACACATATTTCTCAATCCATGCTGACAAAGAGGATGGTACACCACTTAGTGGTGGTTCTTTGTCACCTCCTTTCTCATCTCCATGCACCTTAAGAACTGCACTTACCCGATATGCAGATCTTCTAAATTCACCCAAAAAGGTGAAAATTTCATTTTATTTAAATTTACATTTAGCATTTCTTAAGTTTCTTATTAATACTAAGTTCAAGTTTTTTTTTCTTTTGTTAATTATGCAGAGTGCATTGCTTGCATTAGCTAAGTATGCATCTGATCCAAGTGAAGCAGAGCGACTTAGATTTTTGGCTTCTCCTGCTGGAAAGGTTGATTGGTATTATTTTCTGGCTGTTCATTTTGATCTATTAAGGTTCATGCACATTTGTCATGGTGCAGGATGAATATTCTCAGTGGATTGTGGCTAGTCAGCGGAGCCTTCTTGAAGTAATGTCTGTATTCTCTTCAGCCAAGCCTCCACTAGGAGTTTTCTTTGCTGCAGTTGCACCCCGTCTCCAGCCAAGATATTATTCAATATCATCTTCTCCAAAGTAATAACTAGTTCCGTACTCTTTTTTTTTCTTTTTTTAATTGTGAATGGATTTTAGGCCACGCAAACTGATCACAAGGCCTCACATGGTTATCATAGGCCATAAGCTGGGTACAAGATCCATTAATCCTATTAAAGCTCAACCACCAAGTGGAATCATCCACCATAATTGTGGGAAATTATGCAACTTGTAGAGGATTGGATCAAACTCTTGACCTCTCACTAGAGCCGACAGATGCTTTAACTTTGATGGCAGCATAACTGGCTCTATACTTGATATGCTTCCCCATGACAATTTAGTTGATAAACTTCATTTCTTGTAGGATGGCACCAACTAGAATCCATGTGACCTGTGCTCTAGTATATGAAAAAACACCAACAGGAAGGATTCACAAAGGGGTCTGTTCAACTTGGATGAAGGTACTTTTTCCCTTATTACTTTCCGACCATTTTATGTTATTTTGAGTTGAACTCATAATTAGTGAAATATTCTACAATTGGATCATATTTCATGTACCACTGCATGCAAAATCTCATCTGTAGCTGTGCATCAGTAGCATATAAGGAACCTTGATTTTCAGTCCCAAAGTACGCTAACAGAGGAGGAATATGTTGCATACTCTTTTTATCTATCGAATCAGATGTATTTCATTGGATCACCAAAGTCATTGGAGTAGAATTGATAGGATTGATTTTCATAATTAGATCTGTGTTAAGCTTATCTAGCTGTGGGACCAATAATTGGTGGATATGATTTGTCAAACTGAATGCCAATTTGCAATTTGTATAGCATATCAGAAAAGACAGGTTATATTGCATTGTATACTTTCAATATCTTTTTTTTTTTTTTTCCCTTTTTCTTATTATCTGAATAATTGGTACACCCAGCATATTCTGAAGCAAGTTTAGATGGTGTGTTGCTGTCTTTAATAAATGGTCCTTCAGTTGGTGTCTTTTCATGTTATGTGACACTGCAACTCCTATTTACAGCATTCTGTTCCACTTGAAGAGAGTCAAGAATGTAGCTGGGCTCCTATCTATGTGAGACGGTCAAACTTTAGACTTCCCTCAGATCCCTCTCTGCCAATTATCATGATTGGACCTGGGACAGGGTTGGCACCGTTCAGGGGGTTCTTGCAGGTTTGTGTAAATTTTCATATTCTGCATATGCATTTCTCTGTTTTTTTATCACGTTAAATTAAAACATTCCAGGAGGATATGGCTTTAACAGTATTGGTTATTGCTTTTGTAGGAAAGGTTGGCCTTGATGGAGGCCGGAATGCAACTTGGTCATGCTACTCTTTTCTTTGGATGCAGGAATCGCAAAATGGTATGGTAACAGAGTAGAACTTAGCAAATTACATAGCTGTAGCCTCTAGTCTTTGTCTCAGTGCACTCTTATGTATTTTATGAGACTTCTTCAGGACTTCATCTATGAGGATGAGCTGAAAAATTTTGTTGGAACTGGGGCACTTTCTGAGCTGATTCTTGCCTTCTCCCGGGAGGGTCCGACAAAGGAATACGTGCAGCATAAGATGGCTGAAAAGGTTTACATAAGCTCCTGCTTCTCTTATTTGATGAGTTATGAAATTTCTTAGACCTTTTTAGTCTGTCAAATTTTCATCTTTTAAGTTCGATCCAATTTATGTCACTTCGTGTTCTCAGGCATCGGACATTTGGAATATCATCTCTCAAGGTGGTTATATATACGTATGTGGTGATTCTAAGGGTATGGCTAAAGATGTCCACAGAGCTCTTCATACCATCATTCAGGGACAGGTAAACTCTGTTTGTATTGTCACATCCCTTCAAAAATTCTTGACTTCCAAATTCTACCATCTGGTTTTACAGGCAAGAAAAACTAGCTTATAGTTGGTTTGAGACAAGGTTCACATTTTCGTACCGTATCAGCGTATCGAGCCTTGCTCGATATGGTACATACCAAGGTGTACTGACGGTATGCCTAAAATACGCATAAAACCCTATGAAGATATCTGGAAAAAAAAAAAGCTAGGATAGGATTTTTAAGTTAAAAATAAATATACATTTAGTATAGTTTTAGCAAAACTAATGTAAATTAGGTAAGAATAGTGTCATATATCTTTTTTGAGCTTTGAATAATAGCCTTGTATAAGGTTCGTAATTTCGGTCCGTTCCAAATCGTCCTTCAGTTAATATTGAGATATCTGCAAAAAAAAAAAAAAATTTGTTAGATTATTTTGCATGCAACTTAAACTTTAAGATTCAAATGAATTAAGTAATTACATGTGTAGAACTGTAGATTTACCTGAATTTATCATCAAAACGAATGATAGGACTCTACGGGTGGTGGATCGAGGTTCTCGATCCTATGTATCTGTATATCAATATGATATGTTTATCAGACTCAATCCTGGAATTGATCCCACGATAGTATATTGATACACCGTATGCTATTGGTGTATCAATATGATGATAGTCGTAGATTGATCGTCATGAATCATATGTGTTCGAGGTGACTCCTAAGGCATGTACTGGTAAATGTCAGAACATCTACTTTCGTTACTGATCTGTTGCTCCGTATCATACTATTGCTCGGAAAAGTATGACCAACTATCACTCTACTGCTATTGGCCGTAGGATTCTCTATAATACGACGACTGTGAATACGATGAGCTTCGTTTTGTGTCTACGTCATATAGGCTCTATAGCATCTGCTTAAAAACCCTTTAGGATGCCTCTGATGGTCAAATTGACAGTTTTAAAACCGATATAAATCAATAATATTCGGTTTCAACTATTATCGCTCGGGGTACAACCCAGTATTGCCCGATACAGGGCCAAATATTTGGTGTCGCCTAGTAGTGGGCGGTCCGTGTGCCGATAGACTAGCGAACCAGTATATATCACCCGTACCGAGCGGTATGATATGAAATTAAAAACCTTGGTTCATGATTCTGGATGTCTCAAACAAAAACCCTTGTTTTAGGATGAACTCCATTATTTGCTGAGCCAATTCATTTGTTTTATAGGGTTCTCTTGATAGCTCCAAGACTGAAAGCATGGTGAAGGGTCTGCAAATGGATGGAAGGTATTTGAGGGATGTTTGGTGAGCTGCTGCATGGTTCTCTTTTTCTCCTGGAAGTGCTCTCATGCAGGGACTCTCTTTTCAGAAACCTCTGCCACAGATCAAGTATAGCCTTTGGACAACACGTCAATCATCTAATTCTTTTAACTATCTAACAAGTTTTTTTTTTTTTGTTCATGTAATGTATGCCCTTATTTGTATTAATTAGTAGGCAAATTTTGTTCGGGAAAAGTCTATATATACGTAGGAAGGGGCGGGGAAATAGTGGAAGAACTCGGAACATGAGAATCAACACCTAGGCTTGTTTCTTGATACTTTCCAATGTTGTATGTATGCTCTTTGCTTGTGATACATGTCAATGGTTTTATTATGTTAATCTTCTGTGTACGTTGATTCTTTTTGTCATTACCTTTGATCATGATCCTGCTTGTGAGAATATGAAACAGTGGTAGTCGTTTCGTGCAATGCAAACATAGTATAATCTTACAAGCAAATCACCATGCATCAAAATGTCTTCTTCTTGCGTGTCGCAGTGCTCTAGTGTCAAACCCCGCTCGGTGGTGGATGAATTGTTCCCTTGTGGAGCCGCCATTCCCTTTCTATAACGTCGACGGTAGCTTCTAATACCAGTATTTCTCTAACTACTAAAAGAAATGAAAACAAGCACAAAACTGTTATGAAGCGTCGCGCTCGCTTGCCCAGACCGGTGAATCACCTCTGAACATATTCCGGGGTGCCGTGATCTACACGTCAGACTTCAGCCACCGGTATTTGTCTTTCCCAAAATGCCCACGTGCGAGAAGAAGCCCAACGGCGGCGTCGCCACGCCCGCGCTCTCGACTCCCTTGCAGCTCAGCGAGCGCAGCAGCTTCCACGCCCCTCGGTTCACGCCACCGCCCGACGCGCCGGAGTCCCCCGCCGGAGCCAGGCGTCGCTGCCGGATCCTGATGTCGTCCATGTCCATCGTCGGCGGCACCATCGCCGACCCGAGCACGCAGACGTGCCACCTCGGGCGCGGCTTCGGGCGTGCCTTCGCGTCAGAATGCCCTGACGCGCTCCTCAGCCTGTGATACTCTCCCTTCCCTGATCTCCCGCCCCATAACCCGTGGTGCTGTGGAGAGCCCTCGGCGAAGTCTTCCGGATGCCGTCGGGTGCCACTTCTTCCGGTTCCCTTCCGCGGAGGAGCGGTGCAGAGAGGAAGGATCATTCCCCCGTGGAAGACGTCGTCGGCAGCGCACATGGCAGACGGCGCCGGGTGGCGGGCGAGGAAGGAGAACTCGAAGGCGTTGTCGGAGTCAGCCATCAATAGGACGACGTCAGAGAAGAGGTACGAGAGGGTTCGCTGCTGCTGTAGGAGTTACGCGGTGGTGAAGCAGCGTCGTGGGGCGTCATATACTACACGAGACGGAAAGCGAGAAGGGTATTATCGTACTTTTAGATTGTCTCTAGAAGAGGTGGATACGCGTTTAGTTTCTGGAAGATCGTTTAAGACCGTTAAGATTAGACAGCAGTGAACAGTCTTTTTCAGTATTTTGTGGATCGCTAAAATTTATGCAAGATTTTATAGAGATAATTCTTAATGAAGAGCAAATGCAGGCTATCGAAGCCAACGATTTGGCATTCATTATAAAGTGGTAAAAGATATGCCATATTAATTCATCCATTCATATAAAGTGCCATTCCCTGAGTATCATGACTCCATGAAAGCGACGAGGCAAGTGTTTGTTTCTGTGGCGAATATAATGACTATTTTGCATCTTATCAATCATCGATTCCTTACCAATGATATCGATTTCCTACTGTTTGTGCCTACTATGATTGCAACACAAAATGGCACTCTCCATAAAATCCTTCGCTGTCTAATAGTAAGGTTCGATCATCCTAATCTCATTAATTTCAAGTCTAAAACATATCTTGGCCGGCAAAGAAATGCGTTTAATCCTTTCATTTTTGTTTTCGCATTTGACGCAATATGAGAACACAATTTGTGCTGCAGGGAAATTTATGCTGTTGTGTTGTTGATGATGAGATCAGGGCCGTTGGCTATTTGCTATCCCATCTTTGATCTAACCTTGTGTGTCATCGTCGTCTTGGTCAGCGAACCTTCCACTTCTAGACCAGGAAGCAAACCGAGTCAACGCAACAAAAGTCAATTAATTTCGAGAAGTAATATACCATGCTTGCCTTCACAGGACACTAAACTTTTATTCCGCCATTTTAAAATAGTCATTCATCCAATAAGCCAAATCCTGGGATGGCAGATTGGGCTTCAACAAAAGTGAAGGCCTAATGAGTACTGTATGTAGATGGTGGCTTTGGTAGATCTTAGTGTCTGCTAGCATCCTTGCAATTTCTGCTTCATTGTTTTTGTCAACGAAATATACACCTCTTTTAAATTTTCCTCCCTTTGATAGAAAAAAAGACAACAATAACAAAAAACATGTACCCAAAAACAATATACACAGAAAAAAAACATTGATTGTCATGTATGTTTGTGTTGATGTAGGAAAAATTACCATGCTATTGACTATACATAATGTGCAAGGTTCCAAAACTTGGATCACACTGTGCATATCTATTTTTTGAGCTTACACCAGATATGTTGTCGATTGAATTTGTATATCATCTGGTCTCCGTTGGGATCTTGGCCAAAATGATGTTCTTATGAAACATCTAGAGATACAATCTAAAATTCTGTCATCACTTTTATCATTTAAAATTAAAGAGAGATCTGAAAGCTATTACGACAACCGATCTTAGAGTTAGTACGTACCTCGTACTTCTTTAATGACCAAGGATCTCTTCATGTGGAGTAAAGAACAAATGGTACTGCATAGTACAAGAAGAGTCTTAGTATAATCCAATCACAGCTAAATAAGTTAGTGAGCAAAGAAAAGGCATATTATTGGTACACATGTTTCAACATAACTTTGTGGGGAAAGGCATATTATCTGTTTCTTGACATGTGAGCCCCATAAGATGTAAAGTTCATATAGGGATGTATTATATCTCCATCAATTCACTATATTTTTTTGCAGAAACCCACTAATTTGCTGCAACAGAGACATTAATAAGTGGCAGCAATCCAGGTGTTAAACTTACCGACTAAAATAATACTCAACATGAGCAAGAAAGCAATTCGGAGGGAATGCACAAAATGCATCTGTTGTTGTGATCCCAATATATTCCTTTGGAATCCGCCATGGCTAAAACAATTCTTGCTTCTTTCCGTAAAACCATTAACTCCCTGATCAAACACATCAAGACGACAGCATCAATCTCTATCATTCAGAGAGAAGACAAAAAGAACTTCTGAGGTACTACTATTTTTCTGTAAAATATCTCTGTCGTTTAGAGAAGCATTTAAATTTTTGCTCAAACATGATACCTCAGTTATGTTCTACAAGCCAAGACAAGAAATATAGGCCGGTTAATGGATACAGATAAAATGCTATTGTTGCATTTCGGTTTACACACAAAGAAGGATAGAAGCACAAAGTAACAGAAAGCTCAATATTACTTTAACTACTATATATATGTGAACAAATCATCAAATGCCATGGTGACACAAGAATACACTAAATGTAGGCTCCATTTAGTGCATATGGATGGAAATAGATATTACCTGAGCAAACCACCTTATTCCCTTTGAGTCAAGGTAATATGACAACCCATTCCTCAACGGAAGAAGCTCCTCATTTTTAGCCTTCCACGGATTGTTCTTAAACAATTTCAACTTTGATGTAGATTCAACATTTCCCAGGATACCAGATTGACTATATCCATGATTTAATATCTCTGGTCCAACTTCAGTTGATCCTTTATCGGTGTCCTCATTGGCAATTACAATTTTCCAAGCACCACCGCTATCTGGTGAACTCAGTACCCCGGTTTGCCCATTTAACTGCACTACCTTTGCATGCACTTCATCAACCTTGCTTTTGTACAGTTCTTTTGCTCTGAATTCCTCTACACATTCCTTGCCCTTATTGATTGTGACCACATCCTTAAAATTCCTCGCAAGCTCAGTGTTTTTATGCTTTGGTCGTTGAAATTTGTGCGGCACACCAGAAAGAAAAACTGCAAGATCATCTCGTTCGTCGTCATTCAATTGCACCCACCGCAGTGGTCGCTTCCCTTCTACGATGAGCGAATGATTCAGTTCTTTCTCAACAAGCAAAATTTGATTTCGTATCGCAGCAACAAACTGCCAGTGCCTATCGATTGTATTATTCTCCTGGGACGAGTAATTGCCATGACTCGCTCTGACGGCCTTCTCAAACTCCTCCAGCTACATGAACCCCACAGACCAGTTCAAAGATTGGATCATTGCAACAATAGCTGGGGTTTAAGATTTATATGACTTAAAAAGATGAACAGGTGAACACAACAAAGTGTTTCCTAAAGCTGGGGGAAGAAACAAACCTGCCACTTTGCAGTGCCCAGAGCAGTTTGAAGCTCCCTACTCAATTCATCTGAAGCTTCTAAACCAAATCCATTCCTACGGTTTCGCGTCCACATTCTATAAGTAGATTCCATTCTGAAACAAATAGGATATAAGCAAAAATAAACCAACAAATTTGAGCCAATATTTGCTGAAAGGAAGCAATCAAACACTAAAACACTCCTTTACCAATCAGTGAACCTAAATTTGCCACACACACAAAACGAAGAACCCCTAACATACACCATTACCCAAATATCAGCAGAAAATTCGAGAATTTCCACTGCAGAGAACAAGAGAAAACGAATTCTAAGCCTACCAACAGCAAAAGTAATCCAATCAAAGACCCGAACTTTTCACCAATTCAACCCCACCAAATGGATTCAATGAGTGGAAACAACATACATGTCGGCCGATTCCTGAACCGCCTCCGCCGCGGAAAAGAACGCATCTTTCTGCCATTGATCGAAGCTACCACCCACTGCCATCAGAAGAACGGCCGCGAGTTCGCCTACGAGTCCCAGCGCTTTCCTACCAAAGAGGAAAGCAGGAGGAGCGAAAGGAGAAACCTTTTTTCTAGCACTGCACAACAAAGATGCTGACAACGGAAGGCCACGGGAGCTGTCCACGCCTCCTCGCCAAGAAGCAGCAAGAAACCAAAGGAGGAAGCGAGGGGAGGAACTCCACTCGCTTTCCCTTCGATTTCTTCTCTCCGTCGTCCCTCTCGAGCCTCGAAGACGCGAAAGCCGACACAACGTCGGCGGTCGGGAACAAGTGCGCGTGCGCCGCGCGCCCACTCGATGCGTGGATTTTTTCTCGCCTACACATACCGCACGTCCCTCCTCAAAACTGTCTTCCAGTGAGACTCTCTCTCTCTCTCTCTCTCGCGCAAGCCTGAGTTGTGGGCCATGCATGGGGCCCATATCCTCCGGTAGCCACATACGATGGTACACGTTGTGGGAAGAACGAATGGTGCGTCTACATGGACTCTATTTATTTATTACGGTCACAAGATTCTCGTGGATGTCGAGAACGGACAGATCGTACTTCGTACGCGAGCACTTACCTCTCATGTAACTCACATGTGGGTCCCATTAGAGCTACACAGCAACTACCAATCACGACGTAGTAAACGAGTGGGTAGAAGAAGGTTCTCTTGAAGAAAAAAATAATGATAAACCTGGAGACAATTAGTTGATTAGCATTTAATTAGCTGGCAGGATTAATGATGAGATAGGAAACAATTGGCAAAAGATTAGAAGGCTACAAGGAACAAATTTATTTGGAATACCTTAATCTTCTATTGGATTGAAATAATTTGATCTCCATATTATGTGGAAGAAAAAAAGACAAGCCTCCTATTTTACACAGCTTGCAATTTTTGGATACTAGAATGATCAACATTTAGTCATCATTTTTACTTGATCTCATCTAAAGATAATTATACAGATGATTAGCTTGATCATGGAAAGAATCAAGGGTGGAGAGAATTTTGTAAGATTTCTTTCTTTATTTTTTCCTCTAAAATAAATATTTTTCTCCATGTGGTAAACTAGTTTCTCTCAGTGCAAGTTTTAGTGACCATTTTCTAATAGATTTGGATTTGGATGAACTCAGATACGATGAGTTGTTCTTCAAAACGAGTCAATCGTCACGAGTCAATATTAAGGTCTACTGTAATGGGCTTCATATGTTGAGCAGGCTGAAGCTTCTAAAGTGGCTCAGAGTCAAACTTCGCATTTGTGGGTCGAACACAGTTCCATCTGCTTTCATTTACGTCGAGATATGGAAAGGAATAGATTACCACCACCACATTCTTCCTCGTGTTGACAATGTATAAGAAATAGGTCTAAGATTCTTGAACATTTATATGCTTGAGAATGAAACCTGCGAAAGTAGGAGAGCAATATTTTTAGATCTCAGTGAAATGAAAGTAATGGCCTGCCAATAAAGAATGAGATGCCCTGAGACAAAACTCCCTTAACCTTCATGTATGATTTTTTATTCCTATAGATATTGAGAGAGAGAGAGAGAGAGAGAGAGAGAGAGTATGTAATCTTAATTTGTGAAACCTATGTTTGAGAGCAAAATTATTCATGATGGTAATGTCCAGAACAATATCCAATAATAACATGATTTGTGACTCTAATATATTATATATAGCTTGTGTTGATCAATACCTATCCATGGAAACTACCCCATCAGATTCCTCCTTGAAGAAGACATGGAAGTGTGGATGGGAGAAGATTGCGAGGGCGTCGCCTTGACTAAGGACTCGATCATTTCAATCAAGCTTTCTTGTGTTCACATATATATGTATATATATATATATATATATATATATATAT